AATTTTCCCACGGCACACCTTACACTATGTCACGGCACACTAGTGTGCCGCGGCACAGTGGTTGAAAAACACTGCCTTAAGCAGTACATTAAGGCAAATGTACCCTCCTGCTCGTTACCTTGTTTCCCCTCCCCCCCAAAAAACCGTACACAATCTGGTATTTGCTGTTTCATAAAAATACAGTAGACAAACACGGACATTTTTGACATTTTGCGGTCTTGTGATTTGGAGGCACTCCTTGAAGTCTGTGTTTCTCTACAAATCTGAAGGAACTTACGGTAACAGCAGAAAAATGGAAGAACTGGAACTATGCATAAACATATACAATATGTAACATGACAAAATCTACTGATATGAGTCCCACCCTTTTTTTTACAGCAAAGCTTTAATAAAATTGTGGAAGACTTTAAATTACTTTTTGCTCTGGGTAAGAGAGCCTCACTCTACATGCTCTAGTGACAACCTGCCAATCAGTTGTTCCCTGGTAGAATGTTGTGATAGGTGTTCTTTCCACGATATCTAGAAGCAAATTCTACCTCAACCTGGATAGACAAACAGACAGACAGAGGATCTTGTAGTAAAAGTAAAAGTAACATTTCTACAGAACAAGTTGCATCCAGCCCCGGAGATGTTATTAGGAGCCTCCCTTGATTTGAATTAACAGGTGGCACAGTGGTTAGAGTGCAGTACTGCAGGCTACTTCTGCAGACTGCCGGCTGCCTGCAATTTGGCAGTTCAAATCTCACAAGGCTTCCATCCTTCTGAGGTGGGTAAAATGAGGACCTAGATTATTGGGGGCAATTTGCTGACTCTGTAAACCGCTTAGAGAGGGCTGTAAAAGAACTATGAAGCAGTATATAAATCTAAGTGCTATTGCTATTGCTATTGCTAATCCAACTCCCTGCCCAGTGGAGGATCCACTACAACATCTCAGATACAGTAATCAACTCTCCAGCCTTTGTCTGAGGACTTAGACCTAACAAAGGAGAACCAATCACTTAATAGGCAGCTTGATGCACTAGCTGACAGCCCATCTAGTCATTCCTCCAGATGTCTAGTCTGAACTTTGTCCCATTACCTGATTTGAATCTGTAATTTTAATCCATTGGCTCTGGCCCTGATCCCTGGGACAATGCTATCGAGAATACGTGCGTTCCTTCTGTGTGACAATCCTCCTAAAGGCTATTATCACACTTCCAGTTAGTGATCCATGTTGGCCACTTCAGTTTTCTCCCATATTTCTTTTCTGAGGGGAATTTGCAGCTGTACATTTAGTGCCCGGTTTCAGAAAATTTCCCATTCTTCCTGGACACTTTTCTCCTTCAGGGTTTCAAGCTATTAATCCCTGGAGTTCATTTCCTCCTTTAAATCCCTATGCATGTTAGAATAACAGAAGCTGCTAATTATCATTTTGTGCTTTAATAAGACTGGTTGATTCAGAAAGGCCTCATCAATATCTTCTGCCCACGAAGTGGTCTATTATAAATTCCCTAAATGGTGTCACTTTTATCTCTTTCTCCTTTTGCTATTTCCTAAATACTTTCATTGAGATTTCCATGCTCTCCTGGATTTAGTAAAACTATTCTTCCTATAATGTGTTTGTAGTCTTCCAGTAATGCCTATATCACTGGTCTAGTTAAGATCTCTAGTTCTCTTTCTGTTTATTCTGTGTATTGTTGTAGAAACATTTAAGGTTTTAAATACCACCTACTCATCCTGTTTCACTGTCTGATAAAATTCTAGGTTCCCATGGTGACTTTCCCATGATTGCTGGAATATACATTTCTGGTCTTTGGCCACCTTTTTGCTCTTTTAAAGCTTTCCAGAAGAGAGTGATGTCATTTGCCAAATATTTCTTCAAAACGGCTTTCTAAAAAAAACTTGACATGCAGAGGTGGGCAGCACATAATGTAACAACCTGTTCGCCTAGAACCAAAAATGTGAGCACACGCATATGCACACCTGTTTTACTTGGGTGTGCGCCTTCCAGGCATGCGCACGGCATCAAAAACACAATTATATAGGATGGGATAGCCCCAGGGCAGGTAGGAGGGCCCAACCTCTGATCAGAACTGCCGGTTTGCCTGAACCTGTCCGAATTGGAAGCAGCAAACCTCTGTTAACGTGGTTTGCAAATGGATAAATTACTATTGAAGGCATGAACCATCAGAGTGTATTTTTTTATTATTAAAAGGCAAATAAATGAAATTGCTTACTATTGCTTTCTCTAGTTTGCGAGATGTTTTCTACAAACCCAGTTTATCTGGAAGGGGAGGCAGGTGAGCATATTTTAAAACAATCCATTGAACTGCAATGGATGCATCATTTTCAAAAAATCTCTGTGAAGCATATCTAATTTCAGGGATTGCAAATAAAGATGGCATTAGAAAATCAGTGATTACAGAATTTTCCCCCTTATTTTTTTGTTTTAATTAAACAAAAATAGTAGCGTATAGACTGCATAGAACAATGGATATGGCTAAAGCTTGTAAATTACTAAAAAATGCTGTATGAACATCTTAATTGATCAAAGTTTTATTAGATGGTGGAGATTACCATCTATGGACACATCTGCAATGATCATGGTATATAGAACTTGTGATGGAATTGGTTTTGGGCGCCACAATATACCAACCTAAACATAAGAAGAGTGTAGCATGAATCATGAATGAAAGAAAGTAGGTATGTTCTCCTAAAATTAACAAAAATATGTACTATAAAGTTGGATCATTTAGTACACACATGGAAGTGAAAAAAAGTTTAATTATGAATGACAAGTGTGAATTGATATTAAGCAATTGTGGGTGCATATAAAAATAGGCATTCATAAGTTAGTGGTAGTTACATGTTTTGAACCGATGAATACTGATAATGAAAGAACCATAATTATTCTTTCAGGTAACAAAAGTAGGTGGGAACTGAAACAGGAGTATAGAAAAAGTGACTGAGCTATTTGGAGGCCCAAGATAGAATTGTCAATGAACAGTTCAACAATGATCAACTATGGAAATGTGTGTACTTTTTATGCAGACAATGCTGTATTGTTAGGTAAGTTTCTGAATTATTTGCATAGAATATGTTTGCGTGATGTATTGAGGAGTGTAGATCACAATATTAATGTATCAAAGAACTAAGTAAATTGGGAAAAATGAATGAAAGATTGTCATTTTTCTATAAACGGCAAACAAATAACAGTAAACAGGTGAATTTGTATACCCAAACAGTAAGTTTATTAAGATGAGTTTAAAAAAAAAAGATTTATCAATTTTGATAGATGTATGGGGGTAATAAATTGTCTATTGTGAGGAATAAAAGAGTTTACCAAAAGAAGCAAAAATATCTGCATTTCTAGACACTTTATTATATGGAGAAGTGAGGTATATAATAAAAAACATTAAAGCTCAATACAGTGAGAATGAGTTATTTAAGAAGTGTCTATAGCAGTAGACTTATATACCGCTTCATAGGGCTTTCAGCCCTCTCTAAGCGGTTTACAGAGTAATAGCAGTAATAGCAATAGCAGTAGACTTATATACCGCTTCATAGGGCTTTCAGCCCTCTCTAAGCGGTTTACAGAGAGTCAGCATATTGCCTCCAACAATCTGGGTCCTCATTTTACCCACCTCGGAAGGATGGAAGGCTGAGTCAACCCTGAGCCGGTGAGATTTGAACCGCTGAACTGCTGATCTAGCAGTAGCCTGCAGTGCTGCATTTAACCACTGCGCCACCTTTTACCTCTATGATAAAAGATACACAAACAAAAAATAATAGCTGATGAATTGTTTAAATAAATTGAATAAAAAGTGGCCTACACAAAATAAATATGTTTGATCATCTAGAGAAAATTAGTAAGAACTAATTCTGAATTATAAAACAAATATAGGAAGGCAGAATGAATAAGTCAAGAGAAAGGGGAACCCTGAGAAAATGATGGTTGAACCTGATGAAATTCTTCAGAAAAAGGAGCTGACTGGCAGGGAACAATATATTAAGGATGGCTTGAATGGTGTAAAGGCACAGAGAGGTATATATAGTGATTACTCTTGGTGTAAGTAATATTTTTTTCTTGTTTATTTCTTGCTTTTTTAATTGTTTATTACTTTTTATTATTTTTCTTGTGTAACATTACATTTGGCATAAGACTTATTTTCCCCACTCATAACTGTAATTTTGTAAAGCACCACAAAAATCTGGCTTTTGTTAAGTCTTAAATCACCTGGCTTGTATTCTTAAGAATAGTCACATTAAATATTTTTGTGTCCTGAACAACATAATGAATTTTCACTTCAAGTATACGAAAGTACATGCAAAACTATACGCAATAAACATTCTGAATGGCCTGTTTAATCTTCTTATGGCAATTGGAGAAAATTCTCAGGTGAGAAGGCTCAGTTGTAGTAAGTACTTACTTGTACTTGACGCCTCTTCACCCATCGTGGGTATAGGCGACTTCCATGGAAATTTGACGCCACTGTTTTCGGTCCTGGGCTAGGGTTGTCAGGTGGTGCAGCCAGTCGCTATTATATGATTTTACTTTTAGCGAGAAGGGCCTGCTTCCCTGTTTGTAGCAATGTTTGCACATTGAGGCAACCGATATTGTTTAGCCCTAAAAAGGGCTGATTGGAATGGATATGGCGATCCATGGAAGCTGTTTCGGCTGGATATACCCAAGTTGTAGCAAGTTGTAGTAAGATGTAAAAATTTCTGCTGCTTGGTTTTAACATACATCTAACAGCTTTTATGGTAAATTTCACTGCTGTGCTGTTTTTATCTTGAAATCTCATACATGAGAACTTCCACCATTAATATATTCCTTTCCAGAATTCTTAATGGCGAAAGGACCAACAAAACTGCTAAGATTCAAATCTCCATGCACCAAGTGTTATAATAACCATTTATTTGATAGCCTTAAAGAGCAATGCTTACTTTAATTCACAAACTAAACATTGGATTCCGGTAAACAGCTTTGAAATATGAAGAATAAAAAAGGAGTCAAGAGATAATACTGGAATACTATTTTATTTTCCCCCCTCCTGTAAAATGGCTTGTACTTCCAAAACATACAATAGTTAAATTATGTTAATATTCATTCACACTGTTGTACAAAAGGCCAATTTCACAAATATAATTCAGAACATTAACAGCTGGTAACACTCTAAAGTCAATATTGCCATTTCCATCTTTCAAGTGGATTTGTCCAAAATAAGGAATGGTTTTGATTAATGAGTTCTATCTATGCTCCTTACAATTTAGTCTTATTAGGCAATGAATTATCTAACATGTTACATTAAAAAATTAAGTTGGATAATTATTTGAACAGCTTATTTTACCAGGATGAGTTTCTTGCATATTTGTTTTACCAAGCCTGATCAACAGCTAAGATAATATTTTCAATATGCTGTTCCTATGAAGCTGAGACTCCCCTGCATGTATTTCTGAGAGGTGTTTTTTTTTCAGTAAGATGCCAAATGATTGCTTGCTCATCATTACAGATATCACCCCAATTTCAAACTAGGCAATCTTGAATATATTTTAGAGCAGAGGTGGAAAATGTGGCTGAGCTACAACTTGCATTATCCCTCTCTACTATAGATGTGGACTGATTAAAGCATTATCTAGTAATAGATAATAGTGAGTTGAAAATACCATTTAAAAGAGGCCCAGATTCCTATCAAGATTCCAGGGAACACTGTTTTCATAGGACAGAATGCCCCAAAGCCTGACTAACACCCAAATCAATCAATACCCACTCTAGTGTGCAGACTGGTGGCTTTCAGTAGTTATTTCTAGGTGAAGACGGTTATCAGGAAACTTGTAATCAGATAAATTCAACATTAAAATAATGTATAAAAGAGTCTCCAAATCTAAAGTATCACTTATACAGGTACCTAATATGTCTAACACAAATTTGTCTTCAGTTTTTTGGAATAAACCAATAATATACATACATTTTGCCTATTCCGAATCATTTAAAGATATAAGACTTAGAATCATTTAAGACTCTAAGGTTACTATAATGGTTTCCTGCATAGAATGGATTTTCTGTAGGAATGTGCAAACTGTACCATGCATGGAACTGTGTTGAGTAGCCAATATTCTAAGTGAACCATGCATGTTTTGTAATCTTTGGATTATATATAGAACAAAACAATGCTGTTCCACACATTAGTTTGTGGAAGAGGAGGAGGGAAATTGGAGGCAGGCAGGCAATTGGAGTATGACACCCAGAGCAACCAGAAGGGGGGCCTTACCCTACTCATCCCATATCACTCCTGGATCTTTATGGATTCCTTCTAGAGTGTTGTTTCATCCAAAATTCAGAACAATGAAATGTTTAAACAACATATGTTCTATTTCACACATATCTGAAGTTTGATGCAGACCTGATTTTGGTGTGATCTGTTACATGCCCAGGTTCTTAAAATATTTTAAACTAATTAGTAAGTCACCATTTTGTAATACAAGCCCCAATTCAATCCATGACACTCCTACTCAAAAGTATTTTTTAACACCGGGAGTTTGAAAAAGACATCCAGAAATGTATGTCAAAACTACTGTAAATAAGACTGCATTTAAAATAAGTATTATCGACTACTGATATTCACAGTAGGAAGGGAACTAGTGAAAATATTTTTTTCCTCTAACAGCTTCTTGGTAATTATCCCAGCTGTTGATGCAATCTTTCATGAGTCATATTTTCACCATGACTCTGGGCAGGAATTCATCCTGATCACTAACCAGCCATACTGATTGCTATTAAAATAACATAATGCCAATAACAATTACAATACTTTGATAACCAGATGTCTCACATATCCTACATACCATGCACCGCCTCCTTTTAAGTCCTCTGCTTCTGTGCTTACTAGATGTACTCACTAAAACTACAAGATGCCTCTCAATGAAGCAAAGATATTTCTTTGTATAAGATATCTCAACAATCTAGGTTGTTTTATTAAAGAACAACAGCTTTCCAACTAATTAAAAACATCACCTTAAGAACAATTTAGGACTATTTAAGATTTTTTAAATGAAAGGAAGCTACTATCCTATTTCAATGTTTCAGAGATATTTGACCATAAAATTAACTTCAGTCTTTTTAAATATAATTTTTGGGATGAATGCTAAGTTAGACAACTATCAATTTCTCCAATCAGATTCAGATCTGTAAAAGCACATGTACTGGAGGGAAACATCTGAATTTGCTTGAAGCAATCTCCATGGAACAGTCCATCACAGGGAACTGAATGGCTTAACATTCATAATCTCTTTATAGAAATTATTAATTGTTCCTGTGCCATTGCCTGGAAACTATAAGAAGATATAAGCATAAACAAGAAAATGGATATACAGCTGGAATATCTGAAGTCATTTAGACAGTAATGAATTAGTGTAATAAAAATGGATAACCACATTGCTTTTAGTGCAAAACATATAGGCAAATCCATCAGCTGACAAACAATTATTGCTGTTATGGAACAATGAATTGTTTCAATGGCATTAAAAATATCTGAGGTTTTGCAGTTTCTAAACTGGCATTGTTTAATGACCCATGGTAATGATAACTATATATGCATATAATAAAATGTTCTTATTTACTTAACAAAAGGGAGGGCAACCATGTATTTTGACTTATTTGCACAGGTCAACCTGTTCAAATGTATTTTGCATTTGCAATTTTTTGACTGATAGAAATTTTTAAAACCTTATGAAGTTTCAGAAAAATCTAGCATACTTTTTTCCTGAAATTCTAATTGCAGGGACAACTAAGACTTCAGAAAGTCTGCTGTTCATAAAGAACAAAATACATCAGCAATGAAATAAATAATTATTGGGTTCTATAGTAGAAAAGCTAACACAAATAATACAGAAACATTTCCTCACTGACTACAGTATAAGAGGAGGAATTGTCCAGAGAGACTTACAAGGTGATCAATTAATATTTTATACAGACATTAGTGGATCTCCCAACACAGGTTAGCGTGACTTGCACTGACTTTTAAATAAATATTTATCAAGGTATTTATTGGAAAAAGCAGGGAAGAGAAAGTTTGCACATGCTTCAAATTCATTTTATAGGGCGGTTTTTCCTCAACCTGGCATCCTTCAGTTGTAGCAGTACTACATTTCCAAAAATCTTTGTAACCTCAAGAACTGAGTATCCTTGAGGTTAGAGCCTCAACACATCTAGAAGTATCAGATTAAATAATCTTTTTTAAGGTTAAAGGCTCCTATTTTATTTCAAAATATATAAATGTGTAAGTTTTATTTTAGAGAAAACCCATTGGAATCCATCGCATAGATGAATTTCAGATATCTCAAGAAATTTTGGCCAGTTCCTGTATATACTTTGAATCTATGTCCAATTGGGTGGGGTGTCGACATAATGCAAATATTAAAACAAAAGCATTTCAACTTCCCCAAATATTTTGAAACAAAGATCAGACTCGTGCTTATCTTTTTTTTAAAAGTACCAAAACATTTCTAAACTACTTCATCACCAAGGAATGAGTCAAGATTTCTCAATCTGACATTAAGAAATTACAGAAAAAAAGGTTGATGATAGCAAGCACCACTGCAAACATTCAAAAGGGTGCACAGAAAATTTTGAGGAGCATATAATGCTGGTTGAATTTGCATGACACTTCAAATTATAAAGTACCAAATCACATTTTAGTTTAGAGTGTTGTGCAATTTAATCTGGTGAGCCCTATAAACCCATAGAGTTAGGTGAAGCGTGATACAAATATGTCCATTTAAGTCAAATATAGACTGTAAATGACTGATTGAAACAGTACACTAACAAATTCATAGCTCTTTGGGGAAAAGTTCAACATGAAATGAGACAGTCATTTAAAACATGCAAAAAAGCCACTCAGTGGCTTGCTTTGCACTGGAGTTGGCTTGTTCTTACAAATGCACACAGTTTTCAATGCTCCTTTTCACCCCTTCAACCTGGAATCCAAAATAAATATCTTCTATTTGTGTCTGGCAAGCTTGAGGCACTGAAGAACCATCATTGGATGGTTTAGATTGGAAAGAATCAAAGGATTACTAAACAAGAATTACATTTCAGAGGAAGAACATGAACATGTAGCTTACAGGCTTATTATAAGCAAAAAAAAATGTTTTCCTATATGAGGAATGAGAGTTGTATAATATGTGAGCCAATAAACCAAATTTAAAATAAGACACAAAGCACACTTTGAAGTAAGTTTGTATAACAAGAGTTTTAAATTCTATTCAGACAACACTGACAAAGAGACTGCTTCAAAAATCTTAACTTGTAGAAAATATTATTGCTGACAGAAATTCAGGAGAACAATATCCAAAATAGTTTTAAAAATTCCAAAAGCTTAACAGAGGAAGAGACTGAGAATGCTCTTTTAATAAACCGTACTGGCAAATTGTATAGGGAATTTTTCATATAGCCAATAGCCCTCCGAAACAGAAAGAGAAGCCAAATCAAATTCTGTAATGTATAAGGAAAAATGGGATTCAGACCCACTTCCAGTATGAGGAAATATGGAACTGTTTCTATACATGCTGCTTAGATTACAAAAGGATTCAGAACTGCAGAATGAGTGGGCTCATATGACCTATTAAAAAGCAAAAATATATATCTGGAACAACTTTCATTGCTTAAGCAAATAGTAGAGCATAGGATCTCCTTGTATATACCTTGTATATGAAACAGTCAAACATGGCAACCATGTTTCTTTTTTCACATTTTAAAGTAACAAGGAGAATAGCTTTTTAACTGATTTTATAGCATTTCACCAATTAACAAGAAGTCGTTAAAAGGACTAAAGTATCTGTATTAAAAGATAACAGCTAAGCAAGATTTGAGTTACATGTTTTATCAGGAAATCAGAGCAAGGTGCTATCTTGTTTAGAAGGCACTAAGACGAAATGTTTTGAAAAGAACTGGCTCTCCCAATCTATCACATGGGCTAGGCAAGCTACAGTGTGGTACTTGATGTAATATACTGCAATAAGTAAAATCCTTTCAGACAAATTATTTCTAATTAAAAATACTGAACTTTTTATACAGGAAAAGTGTATAAAACATCAGCAAATAAAAACAAATATGTCAATGGGCATGGACATGTGAAATGCTTAAAAGGTTAACTGACTATTATTATGTTTTAACTATGAACAGGCCAATTAAAGTGTATGTCTGTGTATATATGTATGTTAATATATTAAAATCATATAACTTCTATACTTAACCAAGGACAAAGTAAACCAATGGACTGTTCTGCATTTTAACAGATAATTCAAAATGCAAGATTTACTTCAAGATATGCAATTAATTTCTTTCTGGTAGAGACTAATTTTTTCATGGCAATATGAAAAATTGAATAAATTTGATAGCATGAGTATAAAACAAAAAAATGGAATTTCTATACCAAAACAACAATAAACTACATGTAAAATAATTCTCAAAATGAGCAGTAATTTGTCCTGTTTCCTATCCACCATTCCTGCCATACTAAATCAAGAATTTCAAGTTACTTAAGACAGGAATTGATCCTAAACATTTAAAGGGGTTTTTTTTAGATGCAACTTCAAAATTAATAAAAGGAAGAAAAGAAAAATAGCAAACCAAACATTAACAAGTCAATAGTATTATTAGAAAAGATTTGCACATTATGGGAAACATAAAAGAAGCAGGTGCTACAAAATCACCTATTTTAAATTATTATTTCAAAATGATTAACAAGAATTTAAACATGTGAATTATGCAGAATTTTCTGCAGTTGGTTAAGACTGAAGAGGGCATCAAACTGATTATAAGCTCAAGGGGAGTTTGTGTGTGTTCTACAAAAAATTGTCCAAAACTTCCCACTACTGTAGAAAGTGAAATTACTGAAAAACTGGATTAATAAGTGTCTACATTTTCTTTTGCTCACAGGTCTCAGACATGCAAGGGCAAGTTAATGCAAGTAAAGCCAAAAGGCAGAATTAGAAAGAGACAAAACTGTTAAGATGGTACAAATAGGTAGATATGCATGAAAAGTACAAATGACACCAGATGCAAAATTGAAAAAGACTTGTTATACATTGTGATTTACGGCCACTGAATTTAAATGAGATAAAATTTAGCATCACTACACTGGTGGGAGAACCACTTTGCTTCAGCCATGGTGCTGCAAGAGCACCATAAAAGAATCAGACCTAAGCAGGACCATCCAAGCTAGGAAGAACATGCATGGAAAGATTATTAGCGCATGATAAGAGCCATGGATACTATGGAAAAAGAAATATGGTTCTTGTCCTACTCTGATAATTGACCTAATACTAATCCTTACAGGACCATTCTATGCTGTGTAAATTTACTAAAATGCAGGGTAGAATGATAGTACAGTCCTTGCTACTGATAGGTAACAGAGTTGGCTCAGAAGAATCAGAAGCAAAGAAAGAAATGCTCATTTTGCATACACTGCCTTAAACTTAGGTTGAGCAAATAACCTGTTCCTCAAACTTCCCCTATTAGTTTTACGAGCATTGTTTAACATAGCAACTTTTATTTGAAGAAAAGAAAAATAACACAGAAAGTCACCCACAACCAGAGATCCCCAACTTTCAAGTAACTATGTCTCTTGGACAGCTATATTAGACAACACTGCAGAATCTCATATTATTTTGTGCTATATTGATAAAGCCAACCTTTTATTTCACTCTATGTTCAATGTATTAAGTGAATATTCACCTAGTTTTATCCCCTTTGAGAATGAATTATTCAAGTTAACTATATTGCAAATTAAAAAGAGAGGACAAATTACATTCTGTATGCTTCTTTTAGATTGAAAAAATATGTGTTTTAAAGGCTTGTCATTCAAAGTGTAGAAGAAAACATTTCTGTTAAAAAATCCAATATTAAAAAAAATCATTAAGACACTGGTATTTTTCTTCTAATCTTACAAATCTTACAAATATACTACAGCTTAACCAAAAAAAGATGTCATCATGAGCATGCTGCTGTTCCGCATGCAATGCCACTGATAACTGTTTGGTTCCAGATATCAAAATAACTTCACATCCCAGCTGCTAATCCCACCCCAAAGCCCTCATTAATAACAATCTTATTTTTAAAAAAGGTAAAATCTAGAGTTAGTGGCAATTCTTTATCTTCACAGTAAATTGTTAACAAAGTGAGCTGTATAATGGTCATCTGTAAAATGGCATTATCAGTCAATTGGACCCTGAAAAATAAGTTTGATGCAGTTCTGATCTCCAGTCAGCTGGGTAGCACAGAAAGGACAGGCAGCATGGAATGCGTGAGTACCATGTGGCAATGGGATCTGAGACCAGTATTTGGCAGATTTTTCTGAGCACACATGCCCACAAGGGGTGAAAGCATAAGTTGGTGGACCAGCATCAACATAAAAGCCTGCCTCACACCCAAGCCAAAGAGGAACATATGGACCAACAGTTCTGCACATGGGACATTCACGCTCATTGGCTTCTGTATCACTGCGGTGTCCCCAGTTATGATAACCATGGACATGGCCACAGCTGAGGTAAGCCCACGGTTGTTTTTCTTCTACCACTTCTTTACGGTTAATGCTAGGAAAAGCCAGTGTATTCAGTCCCACGGGACACTGGGGCCTTGCAGCATTGATTTCTTGTCGTAGAGCCTCTATGTGTTTCTGAGTTGGTGTGTGAAATAAGCCATCTGCTGTTCTCCACAAGAGTGTGGCCCCACATAGATCAATGAGAGAACCATCTTGTAGGATGTTGGTTTCATTTTCCACCTAAAACGCCAGGCAGAAAAGAAGAACAAATTGAAAATGACTCCTGTCGCAATGTTCCCCCACACTTCTGGAAGTAATGAAACTTTCATTCTCCTCTTTAACGTCTTATATTATGATAAGCCATCCAGCCTTCTCACTCAGACAATGACATCTGTACAATAAATATTGTACGCAAGAGCTAGAGCAATGGGCAATTGTGTTTTTATTATTTTAGCAGTTTTTTTCCTAACTTCTGCATTTTTAAGAACTGTGAGTTCATTCTACTAGAATTTCCTTGCCAACACACATCCCAATATCAGTCCATTTGATTTATAAGCTGCCTCCATTACACGAGTCTAATAATTAGTCCTAAAGGTGCTTTTTCAACCATGACCTGGATGACTGAGAATCTCCATAGATTTATCTCCGTCATTTAAGTGACAGAGTTCCATTCCAATGACTTAATGACCATATGGCAGTGGATCTGGATACTTGAGAGACCGCCTTCTGCCAATTACATCCCTGCGACCAATAAGATCACATAGATTAGGCCTCCTCCGTATACCATCGGCCAGCCAGTGTCGGCTGGCAACTACAAGGAGGAGGGCCTTCTCAGTAGTAGCCCCGACCCTTTGGAACGAGCTCCCCGTAGAGATTCGCACCCTCGCCACCGTCCAGGCCTTCCGCACAGCCTTGAAGAACTGGCTCGCCCGTCAGGCCTGGGGACAAGGATAGTTCCCCTCCCGAATGATGAATGTATGTTGTTTATTATTTTATTATATGTCTTATCTTAATGTCTGTATTTCCCCTTCCCCGATTTTATGTGAGCCGCCCTGAGTCCCCTCAGGGAAAAGGGCGGCCTACAAATATTAATAAAATCTAAATCTAAATCTAAATATGATTTAACTTGGTCATTGGAATGGAACTCCGTCAGTTAAATGAGGAGTGGCTGCAGATGATGAGCAACACTTTGAATGCCACCTTTTTGCCAATTAGCAGCCAGTATAGCTTGTGGAGCAGAAGTGAACCTAGAATGTTTCAAGGTATACCCATATCCCTTCACAACAATACAATCTGGGCCAAATGTGGTTACCACATAGTCTTCAAGGGCAGCCCATCTATATAGCACACTGCAACAGTCCAACTGCATGAGTAACTTTATGTAGTACCTCCTGATCCAAGAACGATTCTAAGTGTATCTTTATGTAAGCTGCAATGATTTCCAGTCTGCCTCTGAGTGCAACTCGGGGTGCTAGTTATCAGCCACAAGGCCCAAGGTAATGTAATTTGTAGGATTTCTCAACTCTTATGGTCCCCCCACCCATTTCACCAGATCCAGTAGGTTAGGCAAGCTCAAGATATTACTAAACAGTGTATCTAGCTGGACTTCTTTTCCCACAAATCCCTGTGTGGCTTCTCATTCGGGAATAAAATGATTCTATTGTAAGGGTTTTCAGATGGATTTATGTTTTTTGCATTCTTATTTACTGCTGCAGAGTTTTTATGTTGTCCTGTTCGATAAGATTTTTTTGAACAAACTTTACTGTTCGTTTAACTAAAAACCACTTTATTGTTCTTTAAAGGCTAGAAATAATTTTAAATCATGTTTTTCATCATTAACTTACTAGCTTGCCTCTTTGTTGAGCAGATCTTGTTTCCCGTAGAGTATATACATCACCGCAGACTGAAATTTCTCTCCAAACACCAGGTTTCGATTCTTCAGTGAACCCTCCTTTAGGATGCATGACTAGAACGCCATTAGTTGTTAATCCATCCATGTGTCCATCTGGATTCTTCCATTTTGCTGCTTTTTCCTAGACAAAATGCCACAAGAAATGAAAAATTAATTTTTCAGGCTTTCCATACTTGAATTACCAAGTGCCTAATACAGCCAAGTATTAGCAATCACATATCAAGGGATAAATAGAAGAACAAGAATATAGCTTGGAATCAAAAACAGATTAACTTGGACAAAATGCTGTATAACTAGTACTATTTTTGCTAACAAGTTTCCTTTATTCATTTCAGAAAATATGGTTGTCTTAATTACGGGCCTTCCAATAGATCATATACAGCAGCCTTTTTTTGGCTTCATCTGTAAACTGCTTTAACATTTATTATGAAAGATGCAGAAATAACATTAGTCAACAAATAATATGCAGTTGGAACAAAATATCTGGAATTAGTGGGAAGAGGAAGAGGAGAAGATGAAGTCTATTTTGAGATATATAGCAATTAAAAAAGAAAACCAAATAGTGTTTTCAGAGAAAGAATGGACAAATTCTTTCAAAGCAAAGCACTGTTTGTATTAGTGAGTCAAACTTAGCTCCCATTTCTTGCTTCATTTTTTTTACAAAAATAAAAATGCTCCTCCTTTGTACCAATACCTTTGATAAATGATCTTATTATGATCTTATTATATTATTGACTGCTTTTTTTGGTTTTTAACTCTATATACAAATTAAACATATTTAAGGTGCTCATGGGTGGCAGTTGGCAGTGATAGGAGCAGCATAAACATAGCCAAAAACCAGAGAAAGCAAACAAACAACCAGCCAACCTAGCAAACTATTTCTATCTGAAGTTCTGGAGAATTGCTGCTAGTTTAAGTCCACAATATTGGATAAGTCGATTAAGCATTCTAGAACACTCTGCATGGGTTGCGTTTAAAGACCACCCAGAAGGTTCAACTGATGCAAAATGCAGTGACCCTGGTGCTCATGGGTACTTGCTATTGGACAGACATTGTATCTATTTTGGAAGCCTGCGATGGCTTCCTATCAGCTTTCAAGTGCAACTTTTAATCTATAAAGCTTTCTATGGCTTGGTGCGGTGTTATTTTCATGTCCACATCTCTCTGAAATCAGCACAACCATTTTGATCATGCTGGGAAAAGCAACATTTTTGGGATTTCAAGGTCCAGTTGCACTGTTTCATCACCTGCCCAACTCTCTGGATGTGCTTTTAAGCCCAAGCTCTGGGAGCTTCTTAAAACACAGTTTTCTGGAGGTGTTTGGGGGCTGATGCCAGATGCCTTTTGAAGGGCAGATTTCTCTATTTCCACCATTGGTTTTAGTTTTCATTGTTATTGCTGGTTTTATCTTGTGAGTCACCAAGAGTTAGTGTGTGATTGTAGTGGGATGATAACATGGTATATAAATACACATATAAAAGTATGACTATTTTCAGAACTCTTTGTTCCTATTTTTATTAAATGGATGGATTTGCAAAAAAAAAAAAGCCATCGCTCTGAGAGAAGCTATTATCTGAAGCAGCCCTTCATCATATGATATAGAAGTCATGTCCTCACTTATGTAAAAACCTGGTATGCTCACCCCAAGGAATATGTTTTTGGAAGAGTCAAATCCTGCAGCAAATATTCTGGCTGTATATGGTGCATTCCGGTCACAGACAATGCGGCATGCAAACCTGGAAATAGTACTTTGGGTGATCTGAGTTTCATCGCTGTTTTGGCTTCCGGAAATCGTATCTGTTACAACAAAATCTATGGGGCTCTCTGTTGATCTGCCAACCTGAAAGAATTAATAGTATATAGAAAATCCTTAAGTGAAGCCCTGTGAACAAAACAACTGAACAGTTTAACTGTACTTCACACAAGCCCCGCTCCCCGCAAACTAGAAATGGGCATGGCTTACATCAGTGTTTCTCAACCTTGGCAACATTAACATGTGCGGACTTCATCCCCCAGAATTCCCCAGCCAGCATGGGGAATGCTGCTTCAGGATGCAGGTCATCTTATATTTAATCACAGTTGGGATCAGAGGCTTGAAAATTACAGTTAATCCTTGACTTTCAACAGTTCGTTTAATGACTGTTCGAAGTTACAAAGGCACCCAAAAAGGGACTTATGGCTGTTTTTCACACTTATGACCAGTGCATGTTCACGGTCGTGTGATCCAAATTGAGATGCTTGGCAACTGGTTCATATTCATGATGGTTGGGGTGTCCTGGGGCCATGTGACCACCTTTTGCAACCGTCTGACAAGCAAAGTTCACTTAATAGCCATGTTACTAACTTAATAGCTGCAGTCATTCACTTAACAGCTGTAGCAAGAAAGCTTGTAAAATGGGGCAAAATTCACTTAACTATCTCACTTTGTAACAGAAAGTTTGGGCTCAACTGTGTCGTAGGTCGAGGACTACCTGTATTACATTCAATTAAATAACACTGCATTTGATGTACTGTTAGATCCACTTAGGAATGCCTTATGTTCACAATAAATATTGCAAATAGAAGATAATTGCATACAGGTAGTCCTCAACTTATGACCAGTCATTTAATGACAGTTTGAATTAATGACAGCCTTGGAAAGGACACAAAACTTTGCATGCACGCACACACCAGTCACATGATCACAATCTGGGTGCTTGGCAACCTCTTTATCAAGTCAGTGGGGTCAATGGGGAAGCTAGCTGGGAATGTTCACGCTGCTGCCCTTTGCTGAGAGGATGGCTGAAAGAACTCCCTGTCAAAAGAGTTCAACTCTATGCCTGCTTGGATTTCAGCAGAAAGCTCTTCTAGCCAACCCCCAGAGAAAAAGAACTCCCTGCTGAAAGATTTGAGCTCTGTGCCTACTTAGATTTTGGCCTGTTCCAACATCCAAGCAATCACAGAGCTCAAATCCTTCAGCAGGGAGCTTTTTCAGCCAGCTCCCAGAAACGAGAGGCAGCCAAAATCCAGGCATGATTTTCAGCCTCTGAGCGGAGACGCAGCATGATAAGGTAAGGAGTGAAGAGTGCCTCAGGTAGATGAGGACCAGTGCATGCCTCATGTGAGTATCTCTCCACTCAGCGGCTGAAAATAATACTTGGATTTTAACAGGAAAGATTTCCTACTCCTGAGCAGAGACACTCACATGCAGCCTGCACCAGACCTTCCAAGGTCTTCCCCAACCCCCTGAGGCATCCTGCATGACTTTCCCGGGACGCTGCTTAACAACTAAAAGTGCCAGGGTTATGATCATTGAGCAAAACAATCATGTGAGATTCTTGTTCCAACTGTGGTCATAAGTTGAGAACATTTGTTTTGCCTATGTGCAAGTCCTCAAAAATGTTTGTCCCATTATGTTTTATTTAAGAATATGCTATCACAGTATATTCGGTTTTGATAGCATGGACTTGCTACAAAAGTATGAAATATCTGAAGCCTACATACACTTTTTAAAATCTGTGCCTGAAGTATGTTTTTTCAAATAATATTAATAGAATACTGCCACAGGTGCAATTATTGTCTAGAACTTTTATGTATTTATTTGATTCCCCCCCCTTTTCTTTAGTAGAAGACTCAAATTAAAATAAACAATGCTCTATATTCTCCCCTCCCCGCCCCCAAACAACTGTTCTGTAATATAGTTTGGTCTGATAAATTACTTTATTAAGTATTACTTTCTAGAACCATTTTAAAAAATTCATCTAGGCAACTCTCTGGATAAAGTAGTTCATTAAGTTACAAGAAAACATATCAAAACGTAATACTATTGCTGAAAAAAAATTCAATTTAATTTTTTTTTTAAAAAACCCATTATTTGCCAGGTGAGTTACCTGAAAAAAAACACTACACTTCCAATTTCATGCATTTTTTGCCATTCAGACATGACACTACTTTATCTGATAACTTTCATTCTAATAGGTGAAAAATGAGAAACATGTTGCCAAACAGTGTTTTTTTTTTCCATTTGAATATCCATCTGACTAACCTTGTCAACTACGAGACCAGTGTTGGAAATATGCTCCAAAAAACAACTAGGTTGGTAACAGACAGGAAGGAGGGACAATCCCCTCCTATCTGTAGCCCACGTAGAAATCCATGGTATCTTTTTAATGGCCTTCTGTCAAGCAAATTGGTGAAAAAGTGGAGGGGGGGGAACCTGGTTGTTCCGACAGGCCTGGGGCTAAAGAGCTGTTGCCCCTGTCTCGAATGGTATGACTGTTGTGAGTTTTAAATTATATATTGTTATGTTGTTGTTTTTAAATCTTTTGTCTGTATCTCCCTCCCCGGTTCGAGTTGTGAGCCACCCTGAGTCCCCTTCGGGGGGGGGGGGGAAGGGCAGCATATAAATTTAATAAACTGAACTGAACTGAACAATCTGTCCCTTTCCATCAGTCCATTACATTCCCTTCCAGTTATGGAGGAAGAGGCTGCCTGTCCTAGCATGGAAATAAAGTGCACTGGCAAAGAGGGAATGGGGCAATCCAATCTGTTCACTTGCCTCCGAAGCAATTCCTGGTTGTCCAGGCTACCAAAGAAGGCTTAATACCAGGCTGTATCAGATAGTTGCCATAGTGAAAATATCTAGCTCAGGCTGAGGTTCTTGGCATTCTCTGAGCTTGCTTTTCTTCCTACAGACATTTCATTACCAAGATAGGTAACATTATCAGTGCACAGAGGAGGGGAGATTATTGATTGTATAGGTGAGGAAGCTTGTCCGACCAGCCTTGATTGAGGCATCACTTCTTTCTGGATTGCTTTTGAGTTAGTTATTGTTTCTTCTATGATTGTTCTTGTTTATCTGGTGTGGTTCAGGTTTACATAGGTTTTGTATCAGATGCTATCAACTACCTCAAGATTGTATAATTTCAGCAAGCATTATCACTCTCAGAAAGCCCTAGCTGGTTCAGGACTGCTTATCTTGTGGTATAAACACTTTTTGTTTTACATTGTGGATTAGAGTCAATGTATAGGAAGCATTTAATTGCTGAAGACAAGGAGGATATGACATGATTAATTCCTAGATGGGAGACCTAGTCTTATGAAGCCTGTCTGAGCTTTTCAAAAAATAAATAGGAGATCAATTTAACAAATAGCACTACATGTTCTGAGCCTGGAAAATCACTGAAGTAGGAGAAATCATTTTAAAAAATCCAAAGAAAAACTTGAATTCATCTATTTCCAAACGTATCTTGAAAATTAATTAAGGGCTTTCCAAATGGAGTGGGGAGTTGGGGTGCTTCTGTGGATCTGCTATACTAGCCATGTACACTACATGGTGTCCATGGACACACTTTCAAGATAATATTGAGAAGACCAAAGTATAAACAATGCAGCTATCACTAGTTCTCATTGAGAGAGCTTTCAAAAATGCTTGAGTAAGATCCATCCAAATTCAGGAACATTATTCCTGAACTGCTCATGTGTTAACCAACTAATTTTCAAAAGCATGATCCATTAAGTACATAACAGGAAACATGTGTATAATTGTTTAAAAGATCTGCTATAAAAGGATGTTTTAAATATTCCACATGAAAAACTCTTCAGGGGCAGAAAATGCATGGAAATGCAGTTATATATCACTATCTTTAAAATATTTTGCTGCATGCATTTAAGTTAGGAAACTACACAACTGACCACAGCTTCCTAGTGTGCTTTCCTGTAACTTGTAAGATAACTACGAAATGGGTCTCTTTTGCAATTGTACATAAACTGTATATTTTTCTATACAAAGACTGGACAGAGAAGCAATTAACATTCTTCTTCAGCAATTGCAATATTTTAATTTTACAGATTATTTCACACCAAATTTATAAAATCTGAGAACAGTGCAATACTAGGATCAATGGCTATTAGCCTTAAAGGCAGTGTGACTGTCTCTAAAAGGCCATCTACTAGGAGGCTAGTAGGCTTCCTTGGGTAGTTGGTTGGTCCTATGAGATTGCTGGATTAGATGGTCCAGAGGTCAGATCCAACATGGTAGTGCATGTGTTCTTAATATAAAAGACAGACAGGGTACAGTATAAAAGCTTTCTGAGAATTACTTTTCATATGACAAATTTCCAATTCATAAGGCACATACGAAACATTAAAATCTCTAAGAAATCTATTTTATGTTACCACAAGCAACTACTTTTATGTAATGTTAATACACTTACCTGAAACATATCAGTATCTTTATCATGCGTATATTCTACTACAATGGTTTGATTTCGTGATAACGTGTAGGAGATACTGTGTTGTCCCTTACAACTGATGGCCTGTGGAATAAAATATTCTCTGCTTTATTTAAATAACATTTCTGCCAGGGAAAGAACAGTATAAAACACTTGTAAATACAATTACAAACATGACTACATTCTTCAAATTGAGTTTTTAATTTTAGGTACAGTACAGCATATATTGCAGTCATTAAGTGTAATCATAACAAATAAAAATTAAATTAAATTATCTCCCATGTAAGATATAATCATTTATGAGTTTTTCAATGGGACAGCAGGTAGAAAACACGGAGATCTACATTTCAATAGTTTTTTTAAATTAGTATTATCTACTTCACAAAGTCAAGAAAAGAAAGTGCCTCTGTGATTTCTACAGTATTATTGTTTTGTATATTTTACATTGGAAACACTGCTTAATGAAGTTTTTCTAGAGGAGATTCATATTTTACATATGAAAACCTATTTTTTTACAGATGTATTCAACATTTTATTTCAGGTTTTAAACCTACAGTATTTGCTGTCATAAGAAACTTTATAGATCAAACAATGGCAACAGGAGGTGCCCAGGCAAGCAGGGCCTGGGCGGGCTGCAGAGCACAGAACCAGTAAGTTTCCTAGAAGGAATTAAAGCATTCAACTTTGCAGCCCGGAGGCCACACCTGTGTTTAAATTTGGCGGGCGAGTGGGGGGGGGGGAGAACAATGGGAAGGAAAGGGTGGGAGATAGGAGCAGAGCCATGATGCCATGCAAGGCCCGCTTCCCTGAACCCAAAGGCATGAAAGAAGGAATGTGCAGTGGGGGCGCCATGCACGACTGCAGGACACAATCGTGTACGTGCAATCCGGTGTCAAGTCCTATTGCAATTATGGCTGATGAAGCTTCTTGGATGAGAAGCGAAACATCAATCTTCTTCCTCAAAGGAAAAAAAATAGTTCAATTTCCTTTTGGAAGAGGACCTTTGTGACTGTTTAGTCATATAATTAATCTATTTCAGTTATTTTGCAAGTATTGGAACTTAGCTTCAAGATATAATTTCCACTAATATAAAGAAAAAATGTCTCTAATGTTCCTCTTAGTCAGAATTCTATCGTTAAACATAAACCAAGAGAGCTCATTTCAAAAGGTGAGCCAAATATGTTTATATGAATCAATTACAGAGCTGGTTATGCATCTGAATGTTCCCAAACAGACAGTATCTGCATCTGCTATTTTCCTCATTTTAAATGGCATAATCTCCTAAATATTTCTTAAATTCAATCTATCACATGCTTAGCCACTGATAAGTAATATTTAATAAATATTTGTACTACAAATATGCTTAAGAATCCAGGTACAGCTGAAAAACATTCAGCCACTTCCAGTCAAGCAATTAGAATTAAGAATATGTTTGAAAGGTTATTTGGAAATAGTTGATTACATATTACAAGCCAACCCCAGCTTCATAGATTGGCATTCTGAAATATCCTTTAGCAAGCCTGTTTTTAGTTCTATTTTTTACTAGGTAAATTATACGTATGTTTCTCCCACATAGATACAGGGTGTCCTTGGTTGGTAATTACAGAAAATTAACGTCCTGTGTTTCTAAAACAACTATTCATTTAGTACTACATGCACTTAATTTTATTTCACTGAAACTATTTGTACAATTCAAAAACCACATTCATAGGACTTTGGTGCCTTTATCAGGTTTCTTTCAACATTTCTTTCTTAATACAAAACATTGAGGGGCCTATGAGCTACATAACCCATTATTCTTGAAGATTAAGTTAACATTCTTTAAAATGGAAGCTCAGTGGCTATTAAGAAGAAAACAAAAAAGAATTATTCATAGCTTTAAAAGTAGTTTCGGTTATATTCTATAAATATATAGAAGGCTTTTAATATTCAAATAGTACCAAGACAGGTGCAGAAACCAGAACTTAACAAATAGGCAAAGCTAACAAACTTTTTTTTTTTGTTATTATATGGACCGCTGGACCCTAGCCAACAGTCAAAATATAGGTACATACATTCCTGCTAGCTTACCTACATCCCAAACTGAATACAAAAATGCAAAAAGCCTTGCACCGCATACAAGTTATACCTCTATCCTACACTATCTGGCAAACTATATTTCTGCTTGTCAATTCCTTCTGTGATCACAGAATGGAGAAAGAATGAAGATTGCAAATCTAGTAGGGATATTATCACCTCAATAACAGAAACAGTATTGTTTACTTTTTTCCTATCTCTTTCTTTGCTTTTGATCATTTATCTCTATGTATCAATTAAAAAGAAGAGCCAATATAGTGTAGTGGTTAAGGTATTAAGGCTATAAACCAGGAGACTGTGAATTGTAGTTCTGCCTTAGGCACACAGTGAGCTGAATGACCTTAGGCCAGTTACTTTCTCTCAGTCCTGGAAAGAAGGCAATGGCAAACCACTTCTGAAATCTTGCTAGGAAAATTGCAGGGACTAATCCGGGCAGTTTCCAGGAATCATAACAGACTAAAAGACACATACAAACACCCAAAAAACCTCTACCTTGATTCAAAAAAGCATTGCTGTATGTTTTAGCAATGTTGAATGTTTAGCAAAATTCAGAGCGCTAAAAAGATAGGCGTGTCACACTATCTATTTATCCAATTATGAAAACCACAATGGGAGATAACGCGTAATACAGAAAATACTGCACTGATTTGTGTTGGAGTTACATATTGGTCCATAATTCTCACTTCAACAAGAATATAAACTATAAGATAATTTTAGAAAATGCATTATTTTTCTCATAGGATAATATACTATGCTTTAGATTGGTCTCATTCAATTACTATAAAAATAATTGAGATAATATTCCAAAAGTGTTGTGTTAATACTCTGCATCATAAATAGTATTCTTCAAATTAGAAGTTATTAAAATGCAAATATCCCCCTAAAAAAGAGACAGCGGAAGGTTTAAATGACCATTCAAAAAGAAAAGCCACAAGTACAGTTAGGCAACTTGTTCTCTCTTTCACTATGGTTTCCCTGTAACATGTGAATGGAGGAAAACAGCTAGATGTAATTACAAGCAATGCAGAGGACAATGAAACAAAAACAAGAGTATATGTCATCCAAAAACAACAACCCAGCACCTGTTTTGATCTGTCTAGATAATAGATTTTTCAGACCAAGTTGCAACATAATAAATACTTTGCAGGTCTGCTGTCAACATTGCAGGTGCTATAGTGGAATGGACTTCTGCAGCATCCAGAATAGGGAGCTTTCTAATTGTTCCTGTGGCTGATGTGAAGCCAGAAAGCCTTCCTTAGGCAATATATGACAAACAAATACTTTGCCTTAATGGAATGCTTCTAAGCTACATAGTGAATGTCCAGGAAGTGCATGGATAATTCTAAAGGTATTATTGGAGCAGGTAAAAAGATGTATAAAATAAAATATTGATTCAAATGAACAAAACTGAAAATCCTAGGAAGGCAAATATATTAACATCATATTTGTGCGAAACAACATATAGTATATAACATTATGTTTGTGCAAAATATCATACAGCTTATCTAATTAGAATGTTCCCTAACTTGCCTGGAGCACCAAGATATTGCCAAGAGAAAACAGACCTCCCTAGTGGAATATGGCACATTTCAAAAGTAGCTAAACACACAAAGGATCTATCCATTAAATCAGAAAAAAACAACTTATACTGGTAAATAAGACAAGCAGAATTTCTTGATACCTCATAAAACTATTCTGTTAGGAACGGAAGTAATTTATAAACAAAAACTGAAGGAATCTTATGTGAAGTTGACTATATTCTCATATTAATCCAAGTTACACCATAAATCCCAAATGCCGCTGCAGATTATTAATGCAGAGAAACAAATCAGTGAATAGTCATAAAAGTGAAGTGACTGATATAGACTTTCCAATAGAAGAAAAAATGATTTTTCAGGGAGTCCAATATACACAAAATAGTTTACATTAAAAACAAATGAGACATTTTGAGATCCAGAGCTAAGAAATGAATTAAGAATCAGTGTACTGTAGACAGTGAAAAGCAGTTAGTCTTACAAAGGTACATTAGTAGCCAAATTATCAGAATACAGAAAAATCTGTCGTTCTTGGATACACAGATAAGCTGCACTGACTTTTTCCCCCTGAACAATATAAAATGGTTATTCTGTTCTCATCTGTTCCAGACAAACTCAAGATATGTTCTTGCAATTATGGAACTATGGTCTTACAATTACAGGATCAGAATTTATAAGACATATTATATTGCAGGACATGAAAGGATGACAGCTAGACTAAAATATTATTGAAAGTGATTTTATCACTGACAGAAGTTGATAGAAATCAATTACTGGGGGTGGGGGGGTGGGAATGAAACATTGTCAGTGCAAATCAACCACATACCAATTTCCTATTACGGCAGTATAAAGAACACTTCATGGGCTTCTTGTTGCTTTTTTTTTTTTTATAAAATTACACGTGGTCAAAATTCATAAAGATCAGATTACAAAATGAACAAATACTGCAAACAAACAATTCTACAACCCCATCTTTCTTCAAATAAATCAACGAGGAAGTTGCAATTGGAGAGGGCAACATTTTTAGGAAAGTCAAGCAAGAGTACATTCCAGGATTAACAAAATGTAAAAAGTACTTGCATATAGATTTATTACATATAGATTTAACATCAACAGTAACATATTGTTTGGGGCGGGGGAAGTTTCAGAAGCACTGCTGTTATCTGTTAAGAAGTAGATTACAGTTTGGAATTGGAATCTTTTAAAAAATAATGCCTTTACCACCTCTAGAAAACAGCAAAGCACTCTACTTAGGATTGCCTTTAAAGGAAACTTCTAGAAACTTCTACTAATAAACAACAACAGCACCAATAATAAATTACACACTATTTCCATGGCACACCACCAAAAAAATCCCACAATACAATAATTATATATTGATTCAATAAAATTAGCTTAGAGCCCAGTAAACAAATATGTGTACTGGACATTAAAACAAACAATACATTTTAGGCAATGGCCTGGAGTAAGACA